ATCCGCCCCATGACCCAAACACCTCTCACCAGGCCCCACCTCCAACATGAGGATCAAATTTCAACATGAGAATTGGAGGGGCCAAACATCCAAACCATGTCACATAGCTTAAGAAGGTAACCAGTCTTTTTTACTTGTTTGGTAGTCATGTTCCACTGGACAGATGTAGACAAGATGCCATTTACTAGCCTGATCACAGATCCACATCGACACAACTAAATCACTGATTCTTCTTCTACGTTTGTGTATTTGGTACCCAGAGACGAACGATGCATAAAAGAAGTTGAAGAGGTGTATATTAGTTTCCTATTGCTGTAACAAATTACAATAAACGTAGTGGCTTAAGACAACACAAACTTATTATTTTATAGTCTTGGAGGTCAGAAGTCCAAAATGGGTCTTACTGGGCTAAAATTAAGGTGTCAGCAGATGACGGCAGTGCCTGTCTGGAGGCTCTAGGGGAGAATCTGTTTTCTTGCCTTTTAGAGCTTCTAGAAGTCACCGGCATTGCTTGGCTCATGGGCCCCTAACATCTGCAAAGCCAGCAATGGCCAGTCCAGTCTCTCACATAACATCATTCTGACTTTCCTCTTCTGCCTCCCTCCTCCATTTGTAAGAACACTTGTGATCACATTGAGCCCAGCTGAGTAATCTGGGGAAATTTCCCTATTTTCAGGTCATCAGCAATTTCATCAGCAACTTTAATTCCTTCTTGCCATGCAATACAATATATTCCTAGGTTCCGAGAATTAGGACATGGACATCTTTGGGGAGCCATTATTTTGTCTATCACAAGGTGACTAAGGACACTGGTTACAAACCCTTGAATCGTTTTCCAGGTCCTGATAGAGTTGAAGAACAATAATCCTTATGCAGATGGAGACACTGATTTCCTTCTTTTAAACATTCCTATTTAAATTCTTACTTAACAGCTACTAGTGATGACTTGGCTGAAATGTTTCTTGAGTCTTGATGGCCACAAGAGAAGTATGGACTAGATATAATGGGAGAAGTCTGACCCAAATGAACATGCTCACTAGTCCATGAGCAGAGAAAGTGTTGAATCCTCAACTCATGAACATGGAGCCATGGCCAGTAGTAGAGAAGGAAGTTTAAGATCTGCCCCCACCCTGTTCCCTGTACATACTCTCCAATCCACATTTGGCTATACCAAGATGATAAGTGAAAAGAATAGCTAATTAAAGTATTTGATTATTGGCCATGTTCCTATTGAGACCAACCCAGTGACACAGATTCTGGCTATTAGGCAGATCTGTTTTCTGTCTCTTCTCCCCCTGGGTTTTATTTGTTTTGGGGGAACCTTCGGATGCTGACCATGGCCAGTTTAAGCTGGGGCTCACTTCCAGGCATCCAGTATTAGCTCCTTTTTAGAGTAAATTATTTTCCCATTGTGGCCTTTGATTCTATACATTCCCATAGGTGCTGGGGATACAAAGACTAGAGAAGACACAATCCCTGTCCCCTGCTCCAAATTTCAGTTTAATAGCCTGGCTCTCAGCTCTGGTCTCACCTGACCAGCTCTACCTTCGACTTTACTGAGCTCTTAAAGAAAAGTCCATGTTTCTGGCCACCAAAACTTCTGATTCTACCAATTTTATAATTATTTTATTAACTTAATCATTTTAAATTATTTTACTAATCTCTTTGGGGTGAAGTGTCTAACTGTCCCAGAGTACAAAGATTGCCACTTATTCAGATTGGGGGGAAATAAGAAAATCTGATCTATGAAAGATTTTCTATCTATTTGAAACCATTCTTTGAGTATGCTGAAAAGAGGATACTGATAATGTCATCCCTTAGCTAGGCCCAGGAACAGCAGTAAGGTTCTGGGTGAGCTACCAAAGTTGCCCTTGACACCTACTCTTTCCTTGAGGGCCCTGATAAATAGGCCTGTGCTCCTAATTGGACAGGGCTGTTTTATGGATGAGATGGTCATTCTAGGTCTCACCCTTAGATTCTCTGATGGGCCTCTTTCACCTGAATAATGGGGCATTTATTTGCCCTCACAGACTGTTATTTCATTACCAGTTCAAGCCCTAAGAGAAGTTTTCATATAGGAAGCTCCATTCCACTTATTGTGCTAGGTAATAATAATTATCTCTAACTTTAGAAATAATTATACTATCATATCACACTGTTATGAAGGAACTGTCGAAAGCTTCTGCATCCATCACTATTGTTGAAATCATTAACATGTTTATTTTGTTTGAAGACTGGCAAATTTTGTTTGGACAAGAATGCCAGAGAACAGTAAGAATAGCATTAGCCTAACTTAGAGTTTTTTGCAGAGAAGGAAACAGCAAGGCTGCTCAGTTTCCCCCAATTCAAATCAACAAGGCCTTTTCTTTTTAAATATTTCCCAGTTGCTCATTAAACAGAACATCAAGAAAGTCACAAGGCTCCTAAGCTCGCTCTGTGCCAGGAGACAGAATTTGCCACTGCCAGCCTTCTAGCTATTCCCAACGACTAGTCTATAGTCTGGACTTTACCAGTGGTTTTCAACCTTGTCACACATTAGAATCTCCCAGGGAACTCATAAAAATACTTTCCAGAGCCCTTCTGATGGATCTGAAGTGGGACCCAGGTCTTGGAGATTCCAACATGGAACCAGGTTGAGACCCTGTGGGCTATAGTAATACTTCAGCTCAGGAAACAAAGTAAGCCTGAGAGTAACTGGACTCAAAGAGGTATATGATGAATGGCTTGTATAGCAAAGATGAGAACTGACTGGCCATGTGGCCACAATAGGAAAAGGTCTAAATATAATTTTGTTATTTTCTTATCCAAAGAGAGACTACTATGTTGATCAACATCATGGTTGCTATTAAGTACCTAGCCTGGTGACTTGGAAATGGGTGCTTGATGCTATAAAAATTTTCAAAATTCGACAGATGAAATGGCTGCCCAATATGGTTGCCACTAACCACATTGTGACTATTTAAATTTAAGAAAATTAAGTAAAATTTAAAATTCGGTTCCTCAGTTGCACCAGCCACATTTTCACTACTCAGGTGGCTGGTGGCAACCTTATTAGACAGCACAGATGTAGCACATTTCCATTATCACAGAGTCCTAGTGGTGGATGGTGGTCTACAGAAACCCTTCTCAGAGACACTCCTCCTACACAATGCCTTATGATTTATTTATGTGATCAAAGTGTAAATCTATGTGTTATTATGAAGTGAACATCTGAAAATATTATCAGTAATCACTTGTAAGCATGTATTACTAGGTCATTTGGAAAGGATCTTGAAATGAAGGACAAAGAAATAAAAATACACACCAAAGTACAGTGCTCTTCTGCAGCTTCATGGAGGCATTTGATCTTGAGTTGGGGAGTCTCTTTGTGAGTCTAAATTGTACTTATTTTATGGATTTCAAACCAGGGCAAGAGCAGCTGCTATGAAAATGCTATTCCCAAGTCATGAATGATGTCTTAGCACAGAGGCTGACTTTTGGTAAAATACAGATGGATAATTTAAAAATTCTGACTAAAACCACTGTCAATTTCAAAAGTCACTGGTTTTATATTCTTTGGGCAAAATATATGACAACATGAAAGTAGCTGATTACTAATGGCTTCCTATCTTAGGTTTTTAAAGAACACCATAAATGTGAAACCCCGAAAGAGCCTTGGACTCTATGTAGTCCAATTCCCTAATTTTATGTTTTTTTGTTTGTTTTGAGACAGGAGTCTGGAGTGCAGTGGCATGATAATAGCTCACTGCAGCCTCAAACTCTGGGGCTCAAGTGATCCTCCTGACTCAGCCTCCTGAGTGGCTGGGACTACAGGTGTGCACCACCATAGCTGGCTAATATCTGAAAAATTTTTTGTAGAGATGGGTTCTCGCTATGTTGTTCACACTGGTCTCAAACAGTCCTCCTGCCTCAGCCTCCCAAAGTGCCGAGATTACAGGTGTGAGCCACCACACCTGGCCTCAACTCCCTAATTTTATAGATGAGGAAACTAAGGCGCAGCTAACAGAGCTAGCTAGTAGCTGAACAAAACCAAACATGATTTCCTGACATTAACTCACCAAGAATCATCCAAACTCAGGTATTTGCCTCAAATTTTCAAAAACTTTTGTTTTCTCAATATAAATATGAAAGATAGCAGTTATGTGGTTTTCCAATTAAAAACTAAAAGATACCTCTTCACCACTAAATGTTTAGTAAAAGAATGACATATTGCTAAATAACAAGAAGATGCTATCTCTTAATTATTTGGGAAGCACAAAGCTGCAGCCAAATGTCTTTGGAGGCACTGGGTTCAGGTATTGGTACTGCCCAGTTCCTTGTAAGAGGCCCTGGAAACAACAGCCCTTGAAATGAAAAATTCTAGTCGTTTATCTTCTGAATATTCTATATAGCAGTAGTTTGCAAAGTTAACTTTTTAAAGAATTCCCCTGGGGGTGGGAGGTTGTTAAAATATAGATTCCTAGGCCTCTACTGCAGAGAATCTGACTCAGAAGAGCTGAGGTAGAGCTCAGGAATCTGTGTTTAACCAGCATCTCAGGTAATTCTGGCAGAGGTGGTCCATGGCCAAGCCACCCTAGTTTGCCCAAGGCAGTCCTGGTTTATTCCTATTTATACAGTTGACAGCAAAATTACTAATAGTGCTCTTTCTCAGTCTCAAAAGTATATTGACTTGGACCATATATTATATGGCCTTCTTTCCCCTATCCACAGACCACATTTTGAAAAATACCACTAATAGCTTTCTAATATTTTGCTCATAGCATATTCCCCCTAAAAAGCTGACCTCAATGTTCCCTGCTACAGAGAATCCAAATAACCTATTTTTCCTTCAATCAATCATAAGAATTTAAGTAAGCATCCATTTCCAGCAACTTGCAAAGGTGCTTGGTGCTGTTAATGTACTGAATCTCAGAACCCGAGAGAGAGAGAGAAGACGATGTTTATAGGTGGGAGTGATGAGAATATAGACCAGGGCTTAGAAAACACCACGCCAATGCCAAGAATCACAACTACCACTTTTATTGTTCTGATTATTGGGGTACAGAATTGTCCCTGTGCTCCAGGACTAGTTTGGCTATGACGGACACCACAGATTGCGCTGCAACTTCTGGGGAACATTATCTGAGCCACACACTTCTCTGGCCATGTTTTTCCAACAATCACAACAAAACACTTTTCTCCATGGAACACGGAATGACAAATTGTCTCAAAACAAAGTCATCCCTCACTCATGACAGGGCATTACCAGCCAGGCTACAGAACTTGGGGGGCCAGGCTCCATTCTACAAACAAAGATGCTTGGGAACAGTGAACATGTGTGTACATTTATCACCGTAACTAAGCTGACAGAGGCATGAAGCGAACCAGGTCAGACTCAGACTCATGGGTATAAATGTTGTAATTGAGAAGAGAGAATCATAATTCTAACAAGGAATGTAATGGAAACAAAGGAGGCAATAAATCTCAATTCGCCCACACGGAATAAAGTCAATTTAAAATTTTTAAATACTCAGTACTTTATATTTTCTAGGTAAACCTTGCCTTGGCTGTCCATTCAAGAGTCAAGATACATTTAGTTTAATCTAAAAAATGTTTTTATGTATATGTACAACTTATTGGTCAAAATCACATATCAGCTCTAACAGGAACTTTTCAAAATGAAAAGCAAGATACCGAAGGACTTAATGTGATGCGTTCCCCAGGAAGTGTTACCCAGGCATCTAGGGAAGAAGGGAACAGATCTAGGACCTTGTCAAGCCCCTTTTATTTTGCTTTGCATGCTTGTTGCGACAGCCAGGCAAAACCTGCCTCCTGAGAGCAGTCAGCGAGCGAGGCCGAGAAGATTCTACCTGGTTCCTCTTCAGTTGCAGGCAGTCTCAAGTTTTTTAAGATGCCTACAGTTATAAGCCTTAGCTGTAAAGATTCTAAAACATTGTAATTAAACATGTGGGATATTACCTTGACTTTTTAGAGATAAAGGCATAAGCCAAGTCTTTACTGTAAATATATAGTACCTTTTAAAATACGGATTGAGGTTACCCACGATTATAAGTTCAGACGGCAAAAAGAAAATGGAATTTGTGAGAAAGGGGTGCCATGATATAAACAACAATAGAACATTTTATATTCATCCTACCTGTTTTCACAAACTCCTATGACACCACGCCACTGACTTCCAATGGGATTTAACTTCTGTAACTGCCTTTTAAATGTCTAGCATTATGTGAACAGCCAGAACAGAGTTAGAATTAAATGTTAATATTCTTTTTACTCCCTCAAAAAGAATCTCAAGGTAAGAATATTTTAAAACATTAAGTAGTTCTGTTATTAATAAGCATTCCACTCTAAGTCTGCCATTTTCAACCAATTTGGAACACCAAGATGAATTGGAGAACAATTAAATCAGTTCGATGCATCAGAATTAGACATTTCTTTACTTTGCTAGCTGCAGGGCAAACATCGCTTTGTATATATATGATCTTTGACATTTGTGCTGTTTTGGCCCATTTGTAACAGTTAGCCAGAAAATTCACATGAACATGCCACTTTTAAGTTAACAGAAGTTAGAATTATTTAATGGAATGTTCTTTTAAGTGAAAGTTTATCCCCAAAGGAATCAGTCCTAATGGAAAACACAATCCTCACTGAAAAGCTAAGAAGCAAAATTATCAAACAAAATCAAATTGCAGGGTTTTTCTATGGGAATCTCAGAGAAGCATGATACAGAGATCTTTGTTTACCTTCTAGACAAAGGAAATTTGGTTGTCCTTTATCATGAAAAGAGCAAGGTTCAGGTTTCTTGGATAATCTTATGCTCCTGAGATTGTGATACTTTTTAAACTCTATCTCTGAAATTTAGATAAGAACTATCAGATCTGAACACACCATGCTAAAGTTCCAGAGATTTCCGTGGGATTCTTATCAAAGGCTATTCCCTGAGACAGGCTAGGGTAGTGAAAACGTAATTATCTGAGTACAAAAAAATATACATATAAAATCAATTTGTTCTCTTTACCTTTTCTTTTAAAGAAATTACTAAAATAAAAAGATTTATCACTATAGTCTAAACTCTTGTTTTACCTTTGTTACTTTTTTTCTTTTAAATGAACATTTATTGTGAGCCCAGACACACACGGGAGGCTTTCACACACATTCTCTCTCCCGATACTTCTCTTACAACCATCACTTATAAAGAACTAAAAATACAGTTCTTACAATTTACATAAACTTAGTGGAATCCTAAAATAATTAGCTAGAATGCAACTGTAATTCTTCACATTTGGAAACTATAACATGAATAACAGCAAACTTAATGGAATCCTAAAATAAGTAGAACTTTTAAAGAATGCAATTGCAATTCTGTACTTTTGGAAAATATAATGTGAAAAACAAATCCAAAATACTTCTCTATGTAAATTAAAACTCAAGCCATGGTATTCAAAATTAAAATGATTTACATAATCTACTATACTTTGTGTTTTTTTTAGTAATTAACCTTCCTGCGGCTGATTTTGTTCTCCTTAGTGTTTGCTTAACTAAAGTGCTTAATAAAATTTCTACAGAATATATTACCCTCTCCATAGATGAATATTATTTTGAACTACAATCTGACAAAAATCTAACTACATTTAATTATGCTTGATTAATCCAAATGTCACTGAGAGATTTATAGAACAGAGAAATATTTTTCAGGTTAAGTTCATACTCTTTCCACTATAAGCTTCCTGGATTCAGCATTATCACAAATTTACTATCTCAGTGCTCTACCATTTTAAAAAATGCCCAATAGTCTAGATTAGACCATGGGCCTCCAGACATCAAGCTCTGCTTCTTAGCATTTTCAAGAGACAAGCAGACCTCTAGCAAGGACTAAAGTCACCACTTCCAATTGAGAGGTATGCTGCCCCGACACTGAAGCGGAAGAGATGGAGAGAACTGAAGTCAATTCTCCGCCATGGGTGTTTTATGAAAAGAAATGCACACACTGGATGCATTTTGGACTTATTAAAACACTAAGGGATATTAAGGCGAGATAAAGGGGGGGGCTTTCTTCTAATGTAGGCACATAACTGTATCAGATAATTTCTTGGAGACTTTCAGTAATGATGCCCCAAGGTGCTTTTGCTTATATGAAAATAAGTTAATTTAAAGGGTGACAAATTGGCCCTACTGATGGGAATAACTAAATGCACCCCATCTTCTCCAGTCAGTTAAACCTCCCCCTGCTGGAGATTTAACTCAACTCAGCCCTACCTCCAGCCCAGGGGCGACCAGGCAAGTGTAGAGAACTGTGAGTGCCCACTGTGGCTTTGATGTTCTCTCTGGGGGAAAGAGGGACAGCTGTGGAGTGCCACCTGTGTCACACACAAAGTGACAGCCCGTGTCTTGGCCACCGTAACCCTATCACCGGGATCATGGAGAATTCATGTCCCTATTTTACAGACAGATGAAAAGACGGAAAGAGAGGTTTCTCAAAAATTCTGTGACCAAAATATCGCTTTCTTCATTTCCGGGGGGTGAATACAGCTGACTACAGTTTTCAGGTTTAGGAGGGAAGCCTTCTTGGATAATCCTTTCCTCCACCTCTAAAACGAGTTTGGAAATGTTAAATAGGGTCTCTCCTTCTGACAAGTAGCTATTTTAGCTCCAACATCATCATCCAGATCTTAAAGCTTGTATTTAAATAATGATTTCTGAAGTCCTAAAAAGACAGGCCCAGAACCTGCTGTAATTGTGTTTTTGTTAAGAGGAAACAGCAGCCCACACTGTTCAATGAAATTTGATTGTAAAAGCCGAATCCTCTCATCGACCACTGCTCCCCATTGGTCAGCAAGACAATAAACTGAAACGAGCTCAGTCCATTCTGTCTTCCCAAAGCCACTGTGCAGGGACCTCGATGGGGTCCCCTGCAGAGCCAGGCACAGAAGACAGACTCTCCAAATTCAGATCAATAAATACAAAGGTGAAAAGAACTCAGAAATCACTGATACCTCCTCCTCTAAGGAACATACTTGTCCATGATGAAAACAACATTTAGAAGGTCTGAAGCTGCCCTCGGCATCTCCCTTCCTGGCTTTATTTTTCTCCATAGCACTTATCTCCCAATTGTACTATACAATTTCCTGATTTTGTTTCCAGTCTGTCTCCCCTAATAGGACAATGGGCTCATGAGGCAGGGATTTCTGTCTGCTTTGATCACTGCCACGTGCCTAGCATTTAGCAGAGTTTCTAGCACACAGCAGACAATGGACATTATCTAAATGGAGGACTGAACATAGCTTTCCTTCATAGGACTCCTCTGTCTGCCACCTTCAGTTCATCAGTCTCTCTTACATGTGGGTACCTGTCTTCAATTCTCCATTTCACACCAGGACAGACACTAGGGCAAAAACTCTGGCCTCTGGGGAAGGTACTGCCTAGGGTAGAGGTTGGTGACTACAGCAAGGCTGTCATTCGTGTTCCTTAATCATTACGCTGGAACTCTGAAGGTGACAAAAGTTTGCTGCTGCTTGGCTAGTGGTGATCTGCTGACCACGGAGGCAAGGACATGTCAATCCTACAAACCAGACAAATAAAATCCCCATCCTCTGTGATCTTCCTACAAACACACTTTTAAAACATTAACTGGGTGTGCTTTGGTGGTAGGCCCCAGGTCTACAGACCATTTGAATATATATTGGTGACTAACAACAACAACAACAAAAAACTCTGATGAAAGCTTAACACTTTTCTATTTCTTAATAAACCAAATCTTAAAATGGGTTGATTGAAATGACAGGTATGAAAACCTGTGTGACAGTAAAGCTCTCAGAAGGGTTAATCCCTTCAGTGGGACAGCTCAACTAGCAACTTGTAAGACGAGTTTAAATGTCTCTTGATAACTCTGATGATGTGCTAGCCTGAAATATTCTATCATATTTAATCAACTAATTAATAATTATCAATGGCTGATAACTTCATTAAAATGTCACATGTCCCTGATTTTCAAACCAGGAGGTACAGATCTCTCTAATCAATGAGACAGGAACCTGAGTTAAAAGTTATCTTTCCACGCAGAACAGCAAACAAAAATCCTGTACTGATTAAATTGTTAATGGTCCCTTCCTGCTGGCAATATTGGCTCCTTCTGTTTGCTAACATATAGATTATAAAGGACATTATCTTTAAAGTCAATGTTTAAGCACCTGGACTGCTGGGAAACATGACAGGATAAATGCATGTTTATATAAGTGCTCCTGCCCTCCAAAACACACATCCAAAAGTTGAACAAGAAGCTATCTATAATGAAGCCACAACCTCATACCGGGGACTCCAGGGGAATATCTGACAGATACAATGAAGTTGAGACAAAGAGGGCTTCTCGCATTTGCCGGGCATTTCTCCCAGTCTCCAGCAGGCCAAAGTTACTGGGCAGTTCATGAGAAGGCTCCCAAGAACTCTACCAATCATTTCTTAACTTGGCTTAACAGGGACTGGCAGCAGTCAGAAGAAGCTGAGTGCACTCTGCTCTGCGTGGGCATGTTTCCAGAAACAAAAACGAGGAGGGGAGGTTCAGATCTCAGATGCACCATTTGTGTTCATTCCCTCTGGCATCTTAAAGAGGGAGAGTGTGGCAGGAAGCAGGAGCAAAGGAGAAACAGTAACTCAGGAGCCAATCGCACAAATGCTAACTACATATAATCCAGCAGAGCACAAGCAGAAACCTACCGCACCCTTGCCAGGGTGACAACTAGTAGGAATGGGGAAATGTAAAGGGAATCCCTTTCTCCCAGTGGGACCTGGCCACCCCCGGGGCAGAGGATTCAACAGCATCCACAGAAGGCACTTAGAGACAACATATCCCAAGAAGACACTTTGCATCACTCCTTATTCCCCTACATCCAAATAGCAGAATGAAAACCAAAAACAGTTTCCACCATTACAACTCATCACAGTTTGGGTGCTCAGGTGATCATTCAAAAAAGTTTCACTTCAAAAAGGAGGAGTCAGGAAGGATTTACCCACACTGTTTGGGGGCAGATAGAATTGGTCCCATGCAAAGACAAATAACAAGCAGAAAGGGTCAGCATGATACTTGTGCAGCAATATAAAAGCAAAACAATACAAGGAAAGGAATGAAAGAAGCAAAAGACAGATACATATTAATACATTGTGGAAAAAGAATGAGTTTGGAAACCACAAAAATCTCTGATAAAATAGTCCAGACCTCAAAGAAATGAAATAAGGAATCAAAGAGAACAACATAATGAGCTAAGGAAAGACAGATAAAAAATAAAACAGAAGTGAAAGCAACATTATAAGCAACAAGGCCCAGAATCAATGATACAGAAAACTGAGTCAGTCAATGACAAGGACAAAACTTGAGAAAAAAAATCCCACAGCATGAAGAAAGATAAGGCGATGAAAGCCATCTAGGGATAAATATGAAGGACAGTTAACAGAGAGCCAACATAAGGACAAATCCTTGAGGAGGAGAGAATAAACCAATACAAAATGCAGAAAGGCCTTAAGTGACAATATCTAATGCTCACTGTGCACCAGAAAAGCCAACAGACAACAGTCAATCCTGAGACATACCCAAATAAAGTTACTGAATTTCAAGAATAAACAAAGAATCACAAGTATCCAGGTGAACAAGCAGGGCATTCACAAGAGAGGAAGAAAAATCTGTCTGGATTCAGACATCTCAGCACCACCAGATTTAGACAACAATAAAGCAACAGCTCCAAAGAATCAAGGGAAAATGGATCTGATCCAAGAATCCAATAGCCAGCCAAGTTATTGTTCATAAGGAACGGCAACAGAAATACATTTGTAAATATGCAAGAAAAATCTAACCGAAGCTGTAATCCAGTCCACCGAAAGATAAAAGCGGAGTCTTTGTATGAAAAGGCTGGCAGTGAACACTGAATTCATTCAAACATAGAATTAAGTCTAAATAACTCTCGTAATTACCTATACAGTTTAAGTTGCCTGTCTTTCTAGGTAAAAGCTGCCAAATCCATTTGATTATCTCTTCTAACTATGCCAAAATGGAAACACACAAAAGAAAACCTCACTTGAACAGAATTACCTTGCACAATAGAAAATTTTTGGTTTAGAGCTTACCCTTGAGGATTAGTATACCCAGGAAATTCCTCAAAAGAGATAATGTGAATTACCTGGTGTACTGTTCAAAGCACTAGCCTAGGAGCGAGAACACCCAGCTGCTCACTTTGGTTCTTCCATTCACTTACCAGGCCACCTTTGTACCACTTAAGTCTTGGGATTCATATGAAAAATAAAGATACACCTGCACGATCCATCTCATAGCATCATAAGGATCAAAGGGGTTATGTAAGTGAAAGTTCTTTGGCATCTATAAGCAACGCTGGAAAACCACATGATGTTTGGATGAAAAGAACCCCTATATTAAGGAGCCAAAATAGAGACAGAAAGGACCAGGTGGCTCCTGTGGATCCATCCCTATTTCTTTCTTTCATTTCTCTACAGTTTAAAGTCATCACTTAGCACTACAGAAAGGAAATTTCAGTCCATCCACAGCTCCTGACCTGAATTATTTTTAATTTGGAGGCAATGATGGTTTAAGAACTAGATGTTGCTCCACAACCTAAGGTAAATGTCTGTCAGTTTTCATTCTTTGATTCAACTAATATTTATTAAATACCTACTATGTGACAGGCACGATTTCAAATAATAGACATGGACCCCCAAATACTTAAAACAGAGTAAATGAGAGGGGAATACAGAGGATAGGGAAAGAATTGAGCTGAAAAAGGGTCAATGTCTATTTATGTTACAACCTATATATAAAAATCTCACCATTTGCTTATAGACAAAGCCAGCAAACAGCTAGAGGATGTAAGTTCAGAGAATCATAGATAGCTGATGAAAAGTGATAAATAAATACTTGGTAAACTGTGAGAATGCAAGATGTTCCTGAAACTCTTCTTGTGGTTACTTTAAAAGCAAAGACAAATTCTTAACGGAGAAAACAAAGACAGGAAAAGCAAGATTAAGTCCAAGTCAGATGGAGATGGGTAAGCTAAAAAGTATGTTAGTAAAAGACTACCGATTAGGGTACCACAACACTGAAATACATCTTTATTTTGAAAAAGGCTTGTACAAGGGAAGAATGTGACAGGATTTTTCTACACATTTTCCATATTTAACCCTTCCATGTGCTGCTTATGAGGGTGTAGCAAACAATAAAGACACTGCCAGAACAAGGTCGTGGGTAGCATGACTTAAATCTATTGTCTCCTTTCTCCTACAGTGTATCAGACTTGAAAATATAAAGGAGTATGGTGGGAAACTGAGGCCTAGATACTGATATACTATCTAATGTTTGTAAGGAAGCTAGGGTCTTTAAATGTTAAGGACCATTCTTTTTAAATCTTTTACAGCACACAAAAATAATCACATGGAACAGTCTCATCTGGCAGACACTGACTTGGTCGGTCCTCAAACCAACTGGCTGACATACGACCCATCTCTTAACCATTCTCTCAGAAGTACATTGGTATTTCTTTTACCTGACTCATTATATATGAGTTCCCTGTTGAGATGCTTCTAGGGATGGAAGAGATGAGATCTTTCTAAAGATGAAGAGAACTATCATAAGCTCAGGTAATATAAAGAAATGAAAGAAAATCAGACTCAGAGAAACTAAGAGAAATAGAGATGTAACAGAGACACATGCAGCTGGTCAGAGCACAACTCCTCCTAGGGAAAAATCCCCCACTGCTGTGGCACTGGGGACAGGTGCATTGATATTATCAAATGACTAAAAGAGGAGGAATAGTTAGCAAGTTAAAACTTCTAAAACAGTGGACTCAATACTTAAAACTTGGACTGAAACGTTTACATGAACATTAAAAAAGAGGGCAGAAGGCAGAGTAGATGATACATATGAAAAACTGTCGTGAAGAGAAGCACATCCTGTGGAGCTGTGTAAGATGTTGGTTTTAATCTGGACTCTTAGATGGCTTCTATTTCTAACGGTAAATATAACATCATTCCTCTTTCCTTATCCAAGCCCTCTACCAATTGCTACTTTCAACTTTTACTGCTAAAATAAAGGATTGTGAAAATCAGATTGCACTGACAATTCTAAAACTGGCTAAAATTAATGAAAATGAAAATTATGAAGACCTAGAGCATTTTTCAACAGCAACTAGATAGTCTATTTTACAACTAGTAAAGTGCATCACACAGGAAAATCCAATTCATTAGAAGACTACAAAGGAGTATAATATGACAAAGGTATAATATTAGATTGATGAAAGTCTGACAGAAGCATAAAAACTCCACTTCCCACTCTACAAACTTGATACTGACTAGGAGGCAACTTTTCATCTAAGATCTGTGAAACCAAGCAGCAGTTAAGTGAAAAATTTCAAGATAACTTTTGGAGCACTTTAATCAACAGAAATACATGAACGATTTTTAAAATAAAACCAAGGCATCAACGAGTAAGATCTAACATGAAAGTAGCCACACCTCACAATGAGAATCCGATCAGACAGAAGAAGGCAGAGTCTAAATCAGAGAATGGAGGAGGGATGCACAGGAGAGAGGAAGGGCCCTGGGACTGAATCCTCAAGGCATGCTCAGCTGATGTCTTCCACCTCCAGGTTCCCAAGGCCCTAGTTGGAGGTTTGGGACAAATACGGTATTTGGTCACAAAGAGCAACAGTAGGATCTGCTGTTCCTGGAATGGGGGAGGAGCTCAAACCCTGGGGGCACTGTAGACACTAGAGACTCTACAATGACTGACGAGATGGAGAGCAGGAGGGCACAAGAGCTCCAGGGAGGCTCTGTGCTCTTCTGTGACAGGCGCCAACCACACCACAGCAAGATACTATGCAAAATTACTCAAGTTACTACTTTAGTGGAAGATCTGAAGTAACTACAGGAAAAACTCCGTGGAAAGGTCCAGGTGGTATGGAGACAATATATATTCAAGCACTAGGAATAACTATGGTGCCACGCTCAGAGTTGGTGGAAGGAGTCCTCTCTGGTTGACTTGCAGATGACAATCTTTCTTCACAGAGAGGATCAGAGCATTCAGTTCTCTAGAAAGTTCTATTAGTCTTGATCTTGTCCCTACAAAGAAAATAATGGGAATATCCACAGTGAGTTTATGAGTACAACCCCCTCTGTTTTAACCAAGACTACTTAGAACATTTAGCTATAGTGATAATCCAAAAACCCTTGCCTTATCTCTGAATTATTTTTTATGGTTACTACAGAAAAAGAATTACCACTTAATTACTTACATATACTTTAAAACAGTTCTTTACTCTCAGTTAAAATCCTGATTAGAAATGGAGAGTGATTGCTAATGGGTATGAGGTTTCTTTTTGGGGTGATGAAAATATTCTACAATTAGATAGTGGGGAGGGTTGCACAACTCGGTGAATGCACTAAAAACTACTGAACTGCATATTTTAAAAGGGTGAATTTTATGGTATATGAATCTCGCTAAAGCTGTTACTAAAAAACTGTTTAGCGAATACATTTCCTTACAATTTCTAAGAAAATTTTCCTTAAGAATAAATTTTCTTAGAATTTCTCACGTATAAACACCTAGTGAATTTATCATACCTACTAAATACTTTCCCCAAATATGTACCAATTATTTTATTTGTATAGTTTAGCAATTTTAATTGTCAGGCTAAGCATTTTAGACTTTTAAAAATGGCTTTCTACTAAAATTTGTCTGTCTAATAACATATTAGAAATTAAGGCTCATAATTAGCATACAACCTGCTAAGCTATTTAGAGTTTTAGAATCACCTTTAAAACAATATTCACTTAAGGCTACCTTTTGCAACCAAAACGGACCTTTATTATTTATAAAGATGGCTTCTGCACTACTCAAATTACTCCACCTATCAGCACAATAGTTTGAATTAATTAGTCGCAAGGATGCTGAACGTGCTATTTGACTTACACACAGAGTGAAAATGGAATCGAGGGAAATTGATCTGATCCAGGTATTTCAAGTTGATTTACCTTAATCTCAGCCACGAATGGTGTGTGTGTGTGTGTGTGTGTGTACAAACCAAACTCTTCTAAATTTCATCATTTGAGATGAGTGGCCAGTGCAGCAATAATGCACTGACATCCATCATGACACCTCCATAGAAAAAAATAAACACCAGTATAGGTACCCTTTATATCACTTATCAGAAAAGACCAATTCTACTATAATAGTACAAAATTGCAAAGCTATTGATATATAAACTATTAACATATTTATATACAAATATCTTTCTGTTGCATTATGTTGGGGATGTCAAGAGTCAAGGTTTTCGGGGTAAGAAGAAATATATACAATTAAAATATATTAGGGAGAAACTGCAATGTTAAGAAAATAAAAATATCAATATGAACATTATATGTGTGTGTGTTTGTGTGTATCTTTGTCCATAAAAAGGGCCTAGGAAAGATATAATGAACACTCTCACACTCTCAACTCCCAGATTACAGTCTCCAATACTGATTAAAAATAAACAGGTCTCCTTGGGGGAAATGGTTGATTCCAGGACAGGGGCACAGAAGATATAAGATGAGCCTGGAATATCATCTTGGGCTAGAAAACTTTTGAAGATTAATGGTTTTATGTCAATAGAATACAGAGGATCCAGCTTGAAATAGCTCCCATTGGCCAAAGGTGCACCAATTTAGGCATCAGAAAGGAAAAGCACCACTATGTACAATAACATAAATGAAACTTGCAGAAAGCCAGATACAAAAAGGGAGCACACTATATTTACTTTTGTTTTAAGTTCAAGAAGAGAATCTATGGTGACAGAGACAAAAAATGGTTACATGGTGGAGAGTGGGAAGGGAGAGGAATTTGATTTGGAAGGTGTCTTTTGGGGCACTACAAATACAGATATAAAAATATATCAAGCTGTAAACTTAAGATTTGTGCACTTCAATATTATCTGTTATGCTTCAATAAATATAAGTACTGATTAAAACATATCAAAGTAATAAAAATCTATAATATCCTTAATACTCAAAATGACAAAGCCATAAACTCACTTGTCATCATTTATGGCGGCTTTTAACCCAACTTCTTACCTTGAAATCGAGCCAAAATAATCAATGGGGGTAAAAACCATTAGGTGAATCGCTGATGGGTAAGGATACATTTGTATAGTGCCAAAATACCACATAAATTACTTTCTAGTGAAAAAAGGAAAAATAACTATGCCTAGGAGGGATCAGACAGCCATCACTTAAACTATGGTCTATCTTAACATCACTTAATGGTGGATCAACCAGATATCATGGGTCTCATAGTGTAATGCAACAGTTTTGGAATACTGTTTTGGAATAGCTTATGGAATATGCTAGCAAAAACTGCTCCATTAGCCTTTAATCAGCTTCTAGTTTATAGGAAATAAAGGGAATGGGGAACAAGCCAAATGACATTTCAAAGAAGCAAACAAATCAAGGTGGGACATTTTGCAAGAGAACTGACATGGTCTGTGAACAACAAAATGTACTAGCTTAAAAACAACTTAAGATTACCCAGATGTATTATGTGGTCCTGGAAGAGATCTCAGTTTAGATAAATCAGAGGAATTAGAATGAGATGAAAGTTTATTGACATGCAAAGGTGGGGATGGTTACATGAAACAAAAGCCAGTTGTAAAACAGTATGAACAGTGTGATCTCATTTGGGGAAAAAATACATGTGCACACAAATAAAACATCTGGAAGAACATACAAAAAGCTACAGTAGTGGCAATCTCTGGCTTGTGGGAACACAGTGGTTTCTTTCTTTTTTGGCTTATTTATGTTGTCTAATTTTTTACAATGCACATATACTACTTCTCTGTTAATAAAAGATTATCTTAAATGAAACCAAGAAACAGAATCCTTACTGTTGCTAGTAGAGTTGGAGCTTAAAGACAATCAGAAGAAAAAAATTGAAAGCCAAAGATTGGATTATGTTCCTTATTATCATAAACTAGTGAAACTTTTTATTCTGTGATAATCTTTCTTTGTTTTTAAATTTTTTTATTGTGATAAACTATATATAACATTGAACTTATCTTAATGATGGTTAAGTGTATAGCTCATTGGCATTAAGTACATTCACATTGTTGTGCAACCATTGCCATCCATCCATCTCCAGAACGTTTTCATCTTCCCAACCTGAAACTCTGTACCCATGAAACAACTCCCATTTCCTCTCCCCAACGCCCAGGCCCTGGAAACCACACTTCTACTTTCTGTCTCTGAATCTGACTACTCTAGATAGCACACATAAGTGGAATCACGTATTTATCCTTTTGCGTCTGGCTTATTTCACTTAGCATAATGACTTCGAGGTTCATCCATGTTGTAGCACATGTGAGAATGTCCTTCCCTTTTAAGGCCAAATAATATTCCATTGTATGGATAGACCACATTGTGTTTATCTTGACTGAAAATTTTAACTTCATTATTTTCAGTTTCAAGCCACAACATTTCTGTAAACATTCATCTGTCAATCTCTAAGGATGATGACAAACTTAATTGCTTTTTAAACAAAATTCATGGCAAGCTAAAGCCCTGCTCTCTGTTGCTAATACCTCTATGGTGCAAGAATTCCTAGAACAGTGGGACCTCTATTTGAATGGCTACTCTGGCTACCCGATTCTTGCTACCTTTCTGTCTGGGGTAAAAAGTGCTCCAATCTCTCTTTTTCTAGGGATCGCTTTGCTTTTCCAGTGATAAAACTGTAAAGAAAATTTAGCTGCAAGTAACAGTCAATCATCTAGATGGTATTAATACATTCTGGGGACAAATCAGATACTTTATAATGGAAATCAAAGTGGTACATTACTGTTTAACTTTATATTTGGAAGCATCTCTAGGTTCTCTGCTGGGATTGCTCCAGTCGTCAGCTTCAGGTGTGGTCTTGTAATGGCGCCATGCGGACTTATTAAAAACTGGAAGTCTCTCAAATGATTCACTTGAAAGAGCCTATTGGAAAAATAAAAATATGCACCAAAGGTCCATAGTGGCATTTTTCTCATGTGAAATACTTACTTACATTTTACTATTTAAGACATCAGAAACCTTAATACATATTTCCGAAATTACATCAAAATTATATTTTAGTAGTTTACTTAGCCTGGCCAGGAAAAAATTAAAGCTTTGGCTGGTCCGATGGTAGTGGGTTATCAGAACTTATTCACATTAGTGTCACTAAAGTTGGTATTCAACCCCCCACTGCTAAATTTGACTGGCTTTAAAAAAAAAAAAATTAAAGCTTTTTTTAAAGGAATGAAAACATTCACTCATTCAAAACCAGTACTGAAGTACACATGACCAGAACAAAACATATTTTAACTCCATTAATACCTCTTTAAGATGCTCAACTATTTTGACTATATATTCTTAGACTAAACACTATTGTTCAGTAGGCAACTGTTCTCCCAAAGGGCCTAGGAAGAAATAAAGTCTTATACATATCATACTTATAAACATACAGCATGAAGTGATATCAAATATCACATCATTTGGATGCACTGGCATCAAAGATAAACACTTCAAATAACTGGTTAAATTATGGTATCACATATATAGGTTGAGAATCCCTTATTCAAAGTGCACAGAACCAGAAGCATTTCCAATTACAAATTTTGGAGGTATTTTGGAATATTTGTATTAGACTTACTGGCCGAGCATCCCTAATCTGAAATGTTCCAATGAGCATGGCCTTTGAGCATCATGCTGCCACTCAAGATTTGGATTCTGGATCATTTCAGATTTCAGATATTTGGAGCATTTCAGATTTCAGATTTTTGGATTAGGGATGCACAACCTGTGGTGGCATACTTTTCCACTGTTAAAAAGAATGAGCCAGTTCTGTATGAACTGATGTGGAAAGATCTCCAAGAAATATTGGAAGCTAAAAAAAAAAAAAAAAAAAAAAAAAGCAAGGTGCTGAAATTTCATGTAAGTGGGGGGAAAATTAGATTTTTTTCTCATGTGTTTATAAATGCAGAATCAACTCTAGGAGGATCCATAAGAAACTGGGACTTGTGGCTACCTCTGAGGAAGAGAACTGGTGGTTTAGGGCCAGTGGCAGGAGACTTAGTTTTTTTTCCTTTTGTAGCTTTAAAATTTTATTATGTGCCTATATTACCTATTCAAAAAATGCTCCAAATAGTCTACCACCACCAATGAATGAGAAAAACTGGGCTACAGTGAACTTTGTTATTAGATCCACCTTTTATATAATATTATGATTCCTGAATTCTTGTAACTCACTGGAAAGCCAGTGAGTTTTTAAAATAAAAGACTTCAATTTATGAAAATCTTCATCCTTTTAGATTAGCCATTTCAATGGACATGCAATTTTTAAAAATCACAATTTAGAATTATGGTGTTAAAAATAAGTATTTTAACTTTTATATCTCCATGTTTCATATTTTGCTATACTTGAACATAAAATCAAGGGTGAGGTATAACACGGCACGGTCTTTCACATGAAACTGAAGTAAATCTGAGCTGAATGTGAGAGATGATACAGTGCTATTCTCAATTAGTGATTAGAACTTACGGCTTTAAAAAGTAAAGATGCCTTTATACGAACAGAAATGAAATGTAGTACCTTCAAATAAATGACAGCATCGGTACCAACTCCTTCCATAGAATACAGTTTTAGATCTCCCTGAAAATATCTAGCATACAGACGAGAAATTGGCAAACCATAACCAAATCCAGCCTGTAGAGAAAAGAAAATTAATACAGTGAGATAAGCACAAATGCTAACATGTTTCGTATGAGGACCATTGACACACGAGCAAAATAAATTCTTGATTCGATTTAAATCAAATAAATTAATAATTCAGCCTTTACAATGATGTACATTGCTCATCTATGGCAGACAATCTATTTTCACCCTGTAAAAATACTTCTTATATGTTTGGATAATAGTAGAAATATTCCAATTTTTGGTTAACGTTCTTTTAGCATTTTAAAGCAAAGTTTTCGCCCTTTTTTAAAAGCAAATCCCAAATCAAATGGAATTTTATCCAATAACAAAACTAAACATCATTTCAAAGTTCCATTATCAGATTTCCTTGCTCTTTGAAGTGAAAATTCATAGCACAGGAGTTCAAATCTACCAGTAACAAGACTAAAACATTGAAAATTTTCTGAGAGGCAACTTCCTAAGGTTCTGGGAATGCTACAATATTTTGATATATTGTAGTTTATATATTTCAGAGACAAAAAAATTCCAGTATCCTCTATATCTCTATGGCATATAGGACATATGAACCCTGATAGATACCTGTCAATAACAGGTATTTTCTTTTTTTAAAAAAAAGGTCTCAGATATGGGTAAGAACAATGAGAATAACTGAGACTAAATTCAATAACTTTTGTGGGGGCAGCGGAGTGGGGGAGATGCTGTGCTACCAAGCTTTGTCACCTGTAATTAAGTCTCTGAACAAGGTTAAGGAAGCCAGGCAGAGGGGTCAGGTCATGTGCATGTAGAGTTCTGGTTACTTGGGCCTTAGAGTCAGAAAGAACCCAGTTGAAATCCACTGTTTGTGTGACTCTTTGAGACTGTTTTCTCATCTGAACATGTAATAAAAAGCTTACCTAAGAGCTGCTATAAGGAATAAATGATATAATAAGCATAAAGTCATAGCATAGCGCCTAATGCATAGCAAAACTAAATAAATGGAAGCTGGTATTATGGCTACTAAGAGCAGCAATTTTACCAAGTTACATGGATTTCTGCCATTCTCTAACACCTCTCCTTGATCCTCAGGGTAGGGCCTAACTGAAGTGGCAGGGGTAGGGGGACAGAACGCACCCTGTCATTTAAGGGCTTTAGGACTGCCTGAATATGGCCAGCAGTGAAGATGAGGTAGCCATAGTAGTGGCTAAAGGAAGCACAGCAAAGAACTTGGCATACTCCAGGAAGACGCCTGAGGAAATCTGCCTCCTGTGTTCAAGCAAGGCCCAGACCCCACCCTCATGTCCAACAGGAACAGCTGAGAACTCTGAGGCCAATGCCCAGACTCCCATGCAATGCAGAGGAGGGGCCTTGAGCTCCGATTTGGTGAGTTCCAGGAAAGCTTTCTCAGAGTATCAAAGGATCAATAGGAGTTAGCTGGGCAGACACTCTCAAAAAAGAAATGCATGTGTCAAGACACAGAGGTGTAAAACTAAGTTGTTTGGTGAGGAAATTGTTTTCTAGTAGTATGTATCCTGCGCCCACTTTAAAGCTGAAGACAGTTTCCTAACCGGGAGAGCCGCTAGTGGAAGCCATTCTTCAAAAGCAGAGGCCACCATGGTATACCGGCAAGATCGCAAACATAGCCAGCACCAGCTCTGCTGTTAATTAGCTGGATGACCTTGGGCAAGGTGGTTTCTTCATTTCCTCCTCTATACAATGGGAGGATAGATACATAAATGTTAAGGTCTCTTACTTGAATTTCCCGGTTTGATTTCAAAAAGAAAAAGGAAAAGATAAGAAAACCAACTCTGATATAACAGTTATTTATCCTCAGGATGCTATTTTAAGACCTGGAAGAGATGATCCACATTCCTTTTAAACAACTGGAGAAGGCGCTAGATTTGTTTGTAGTGCCTTTTTGTCTTTTGATGTTTATTTAAGTAGGAGCCTAGTCAAGGCAATGCCTTCCAAATTCAGTCTTTCATAACTTTTCTTGAATCTGATATAAATGACTTCTTCTACATTTCCAACATGCTGAGTTAACAAACTGTCTCAAATAAACAATGTAAAATGTTTGGTTTTATTCATACAAATAAAATATAATCTTATGTGCTTATCAGTCAGGTAGGACTTTAAAATGAAACTTAATTTATACCCTGAACCATTTTGCAGACTGATAGATATGTTGCTGTGTTTAATGACAAAGGGTTCAATTGTTGTTTGTCAATTAGAAACACTCAGCAGGGGAAGAAAGTGTGGCCCTACCAGGATCTAAATGCTACCATGGTAACCAGAGGCTTTTTCTCACTGTCTTAAATAGGGCTGAAGGTTATTTCCAGAGTGAGACAGAAAGGGCTTGGAGAATGCATACACCACCTATATGTTTCACGCTAATGTTATTTAATATAAAAATTTAATGTTTCTATAATTTAACATTTTAATTATATAAACAAATTTGATGGTGGAGATTCAAAGGCACTCGGTGATTCTCGAGCCTCTATGGTATGCAGCACCAAGGTGCACAGGACCAGGCTGCAGCTCTACACCTTGTGCTGTCCCTTTGCTCACCCACCGGTAACTTCCACCCCCTCCAAGGGTAGTGCTAGATGGTAAATGGCATTCTGGTAGCAATCTTACCACAGTGAAATGCTTTTGCTCCATATTTGGGAATAAGGCACTCAGCTTGGAGTGTTTCTTAAACACAAATTAGAGAAGAAATCTAAGTGCAGAGGAGTCACAAAGAAAGTAGCTGAGGCAAAAAATTCCCCCTCCTCCAAACTATACAGGAAACATCCTAATTTAAGGAGGACAATGATCTGGGGAGACAGGAAGTTCTCTCCGAATCCCGCCCCACAGCAATGATCTCTACTTCAGCAGCAGTTTAAGTTGCTTACCAAAGGGGCAGCTCTTGAAGGTTCCAGGCTGGGTCTGGGAGCAGTTGAATACATGTAGTTAAAAAGCCGATCTATTTTTCGAAGTGGGACACCACCACCTAGGTCGCTTATCTGCAGTGTACAAAATGTTAAAAAAATCAAAAAAGGGAAGTCAGTCTATAGTTAGTAGGAGGCAATAAACTCATTAAATAAAGTACACACCAGATTACTCTAAAATGTACAAGCCCTTTGAACCTCCCAATGAAATATGGTTCCTTTGTGAACAGTGTAAAACAAAGGAGGCAGAGTAGGGAAGTAGGATCTGACAGGCTTGGGATTGAAGTCTTGTTCAGCTCTCTGAATAACGGGGTTCCAATAAAGTTTAAATGAGGTAACTTAAGCCAAGGATCTAGCACAGTACGTACAAATAAGACACTCAATAAATGTCAGATTTCTTCCCTTCCCGCTGATTGCTCAATGTCTAGACACTATTAAATCAACTGATAATTAAAGTATGCATGCACATAAAGCAGTTACCTTAATGGATAAGTCTTCTTTCCCCAAAGTAACAAGGGTTTTAACAGCTGGGTAGCCCTCTTTTTTATCTTCATAGAGTTCAACTGTTGCTCTCATTGAGTTCTAAAATAATAAGTCATTTTTTAAATAAACCATACCACCAACTCACAAACCACAATTTTAAAAAAGAAACAAACACGAGATTACTTATACCCAACAATTCTTTTGTGGAGCAAATATTAGTTGGATTGATATGGCATTTTTTTCTCCCTCTAAAAAGCTTAGCTAAACATGTGTTCAGATCAAGGAAAATTTTCCTGACACTTTGTTTTTCATTTAGTTTTAGCCCCATCCAACATGCCACATATTTATTTTTCTTTCTTTCCTTCCTTTTTTTATTTCTGCTTTAGGGTATTTGAATTATTCAATTCAACCCAGAGGAATGTTTTTATCACATGTAATGAGGCTGTGCAGAGGCTGATTTGTGCACTTTAAATCCTATTTATCAGTCTGCATTTATAGAGCACCTTCTCTCTAAAGAAGGCAGAGAAACTGAAAGGATTCATGCTTCCCACAAAAATTAATCATTTGGTTGAAAAAAAGTAGAAGAAATATCAATTAAAAAGAACTTCTGAAAAAGCCACAGCTGCTGAAGAGAAAGTTCACAATTGAATGCCCATCTCAACCTTAAAGTGTTACATCAGTAACATTCTAATTTTTGGAAGGAAATCAGCATAACTGATTTTTCAGGTGTTCAATTTAGTGTTTCACACATTGGAAGAAATGGAATTTGAGCTCAAATGCCATTAGCTACTAGTTAACAAAAGCAACAGCTTAAGCTATAGAATCTAAAGAGATTTTTGGTCCTTTTGGTCCAGCCAGTCGATATCTTTCATCTCTACCTCTCTCAGATCTTCTGATTTGATTTAAATATGTAAAAGAGCTATAGGATCTGTCAGTACTGGAATAACTACTAATGCACTAACATGGTTAATGTTCTGAAGCATAAATATGCATAAACATGTTTTTATTTTGATCTGGCTACCACCAAAAAAGCCTCTGCCAGGTTTGGAAACTAAAAATCCATCTCTAATCTCATAAGTGAAAAAAAACAACAGTATAGATTTTACATGAAATCACTAAGGTACAATTAAGTTTAAAAATCAATATGTACTAATATTCATGAAAACTATACTGTACACAGCAATTTTTCATCTCACAGTGTACAAATTATAAAACCCACAGGATATCAGAAATAGAATTTTAAAAATGGTTATGCAAAACCTTTTTCTTATGCTAATCTAATGAATCCATTATGCCTTGAATCAAAGTAATTTACAATGAAGACTTCTTTCCATGTTTTTAAATTCCACTTACCTTGAACAACTCAAACAGCATGTGAAACAGATGTGAGGGCACATAAACTACCTGAATAGGTTTGTCTGGAGCTTTGGCTGAAAACAGAGACAAAACCGTCAATGAGTAAGGACCCAAACTGGGAGAAAGTCACAAGGATGTTTGCATTCTATTTTGCAAACACACAAAATGGAACTCTATAAAAGGTTCATTTGGGTTTCCACCTCTAAAGGCAGGGCTGAGCAAAAGCATATGCTTTGGAATCAAACAAACCTGGGGTGAACAGTTCTTTCACTTGCCAGTTATAAGTGACCTTGGACAAATCTCTTTGAAACCTAGCTGGGCAGAATTGGAATATTATCACCTACTTCACAATGTCCTGAGCATGACATAAGGCCATCCAAACAGCACTTGGTGTTTTTCAAATTGGAGGACACCCCCCGCCACTGACCCCAGTGGTCAGTAGGGGGAAAGTGGGGCCACAGGAGAGAAAGGGCTGGTGAGCTGGAATAAACAGCAGTGTTCAATTTGTTAAATTATTACAAACAAGGCATATTATAGAATAGAATGTAAGGGTCACGTAACTTTTTCTACTAGCGGCTAAACCCCCGGAGACCTACACAGTCTTTTCTCCTCACGTCAGGGATCGCCTGAGGGAAAACTGAGAAATACCGAATCCCATGTCAAGCACTCAGAACAGCGTGGGGTAGAGAGTAGATGCTCAAAAATTTAATCCTTCCTCCTCCTCATGACCCGAAATCACTTAACAGATTGAAATGACATGAACTTTCTCAAGTAGAATGCAGACGTGCTCACCCATGCTATAATTTCAACCTAACTACTTCCTCTAATAAAGTAAGTAACAATAATGGAGAGTTCACATTTGTTTGATTCTCGGCAGTTTACAAGAAGCTTCCACACACATTATTCAATTGACTCCTCCTGACGACATTTCCTGGCTCCGAAGCCCCGTGGTGTTATTTAGAGGTAAGGAAACAGGCTTTGGAGAGCCTGTGTGACTTGCCCGCGGCACCAGAAGTGGCACTGAAACCGGACATCTGAACCAAGAGTTTTTGATTCTAAATCCTGAACCTTTTGACAAGCAGTTATTTAAAAAAAATTATTTAGTAAAATATACAAATGGTTTAAAATTTTACTGAAAGAAAAAAAGCAAAAGTCCCTCCCCTTCCCCATTCTCACTCCTCAGTCGGTACCCAGTGCAGCCACTCTTTCCTATTTATGCTGCAGTCTTTTGGTTGATCATATTTACATTCTGTTCTGTAACCCTAACTATTCTCTACATTGCCTTGTACTTTTTTGAAAGACCAGAGAGGACCCCAGATGCTTAAATGTAGAGGGCTTTACCTTGGGGTGACAACACTCACATGAACAGTCCCAGTTCTTCCCAGGTTGTTCTTGAACAAATAAGTCTTATTTGGCTGTCAGCAGGCAGAGCCTGGCCAGAGTCCAGATGCTCTCCCCCATCATCCCACCATAACCAGCTTTCAGTTAACCCCTTCCCTTTGGCCTTCCCTTCCTATTCCAGTCCTTTGCACCCTCTGGCCCTGCTCCCAGAGTCCCTCCAGCATAACCTTTGGCAGACTGGTCGCCATCTTTGCTGCAGCCTCCTCCTTTGTGGCTGTTTCTGCTCTGTCCCACCAATCAGCATACTTCCATCAAAAGTTGGGATTAGTGGTTATTCTGGACTCAATGATTGTGTCTCTCAATATTCATATATTGAAATCTAGCCCCCAAGGTGATGATATTAGGAGGCGGGGCCTTTGGGAGGTGATTAGTTCATGAGGGCGGAGCCCTTATGAATAGGATTAGTGCCCGTATAAAAGAGACTCGGGAGAGCTCCCTTTGCCTCTTCTCACACATGAGGAAACAGCTAAGAAGCTGTCTGCAAATCAGGAAGTGGGCCCTCAACAGACCCCAAATCTGCAGGCACCACGATCTTGGTCTTCTCAGCCTCCACAACTATGAGAAATAAAAGTTTGTTCTTTAAGCTACCCAGTGTCTGGTATTTTTGTTGTAGCACACTGAACAGACTAGAAGAGTGCCCACTGGTGAGCACCCCTGGGGCCTGAGGAGCAAGCAGAGTGCTCAGTCTATCTTGTACCAAAAGGCATGATTAGTTATAAAGACTACCTTATGAATTCAAACTTTTCACTTTAAATCTCAAGGAAATGAAAATGCCTTTCACAGTTTTGTTTTGTTTTCAGTTTAAATAACATCTCTAGGAGCCATCTAAATAAAGCCTTGCTCAATTACTTGCACTTTCCTTTGGGAACATTATAGTTTAGATTTCTTTCCTTTCTTTTAAAACCATGTCAAATGCTTCTGTCCATGACTCTTCCCTAATTCTGGGTCTAGTGGATGCTAAGTAGTGGATGTCTAATAGATGTTTGCTGATTTTCTAAAATAAGACACAAATGAAATATGAATTTTCCATCTATGGGTACATTTTAAAAAGTCAGTGGAAGAAAATGGTCCAGGTTTTTCAAGCTCAAGACTCGAGAAATAATAAAGTTTCTATTTTGCACAGTCAATGCTCCAAATGCCATTAATTGAAACTGCATTTAATAAATACTAATAGAACTCTACATAGACAGACATAAGGACTTTTATTTTGTTCTTTTGTAAGAATAAAAGAAAAACCTGGAAGCTAAGTAGAAACAATGCATTTAAAAGAAAAGGTAGCTGGTACACTTGTGTTTATATATGTAAAAAAAAAAAAAAAAAAAGAAAAGAAAAGGTAGCTGGATCAATAGATACAGCTATTAGAAACAGTATATAGTGTGCTCAGGCACAATGGGATCAAGTCCTGACTCTGGCATTTGATAGCTCTATTAATAGGTATTTAACCCTTCTGGGCCTCAGTGCTCCATCTCGGAAATGGGCATAGTCCATATCTCACTGCATTAACAGAAAGATTAAATGAGATGATGGTGATAAACTGGTTTACATAGAGCCTACCACATAGTAACCAGTCAAAAAATGTTGGCTGTTATCATTACTAAAAATTAATTTCCACAGTGTTAACAGAGCTACCAGTGATTACTTTTCGATTGTTGTATGGAACCACTTGACTGAAAGTATCCATAAAAGTATCTGATATGGGGAAATTAGAGGTCAAAGATCCCAGGATAGACACATACTTTTTCTGTGAACTCTTTTATAATAAAATATACATAGCATGAATTGAAATATTTATGTTTCCCTCCAAACCCAAAGCTATGAATCATCCTCTTGACAGGAAAGACCAAGGTATAATAGAAATGGTGAAGAAATGCAAGTGGTGGCCATAAGTCTTATCTTTCTCAATTCAACCCTGACTTCCAGTAGCCACCCTTTACTATATATCCAGTATGTGCCCGGTGCAATATTTGAGGCACTAGAGACATTCTCCCTTCTACCACCCTGCAAGTCAAGCTTACAGATGAGGAAGCTGAGTGTTTCAGAGACAAAGTGATTTTCTAAGGCCTACGCTTCATGAATGTTAGAACCAGGATTTCCACTGCTTAGCTAGTTACAAAGCTCACATCTTTCCCCAAGCCATACTGCCTTACCATATGGATGAAAAAAAGATAATGTAAAAATCTTTCTTTGTTAAATGTTTTGGTAACTGAATGAGAATGGTGAGGGAATGACAACAAGCATGATGAATGACAACAAGCATGATGAAACTGCTTCTTGACTCTGGACAAATGGATTAATGGTTGCGACAGATGGCAGAAATATTGGAGAAATATTTCTCAAATATTCAAATATTTGAAATGTTCAAATATTTCAGTAATATGTTAAGCCTGATCTAGGATTTAAAAAAAGTGTTATTTTTAATGCTCCTGTTAAATGTGTTACAGAAAGGACAATAAAAAAATTTACCATAGCTTACCCACAATATTCAGAATTCTAGTGATGACTGGTAAATACTGATGGTGTTCCCACCACGTGTTTTGGATAATCTTAGTTACTACTCTCTCAGGGGTCTACACTGGGAAAGGGGAAAAAAATCCAAAATTCAGAAACAAAAGATAATATGCCAAACAAACAGAACTTAAATTCTCAGGCAGCGGGCTGGGCGTGGTGGCTCCCGCCTGTAATCCTAGCACTTTGGGAGGCTGAGGTGGGCGGATTGCTCAAGGTCAGGAGTTCGAAACCAGCCTGAGTGAGACCCCGTCTCTACCAAAAATAGAAAGAAATTAATTGACCAACTAAAAATATATATACAAAAAATTAGCCGGGCATGGTGGTGCATGCCTGTAGTCCCAGCTACTCGGGAGGCTGAGGCAGTAGGATCGCTGAGCCCCGGAGATTGAGGTTGCTGTGAGCCAGGCTGACACCACGGCACTCACTCTAGCCTGGGCAACAAAGTGAGACTCTGTCTCAAAAAAAAAAAAATTTTTTTTTCAGGCAGCAACAAACAGTTCTTTTGGACTAATGGCAGCCTCACTTACTCTGAAGGCCAGAGCAGCGAGTGGTATCACTCTATTGTTAAAGGTGCCTGTCGTGTAATGAAAAAATCCTGAAAGGGGATGCTGCGCTAGTTTAGACAAGCTCTGAAAATGAATCCATATGAATCTGCATCTGACTCCTCCCTTAGAAAACAGAGTCAGCTGTCATACTGCGCGAAGCATACAAACTCTCTCCTTATAAAGCCAAACTATCCACTTAAGGTGTTCAGGACCAATCTCTGACCTACATGTCTAACGTTGAACTTGTTAGGGCTAAAGCACATTCCTTAATCATGCTTGCAAAGAGCTCTGGCATTCAAGAAATCATAAATATAAATCATAACTACACTGCCAAAATCATCACAAAACTAGAGACTACCTATAACCAGCAGCATCCATGTACCTTGCTGATAGGAAAAGGGGCTTCAAATTATGATAGAAAATGGGCTTGTATCACTCAGGAGATGGTGCCAAAAATAGTCATAAGGCTCCTCTCATGGTGGGTGACCAGCCATCATGACAGCCTTGGCTGGGAAGAATGTGCTCTGGCCTTCAGGCTGAGGGGGGCTGTCCCCCACAAAAAAGAGCAGTTTGTTACTACCTGCAGACTTAAGTTCTATTGTTTGACAAATATAAATCTTGACGTTATGTCGGGTCCCACCTAGCCAGTAGGAAGAAATAGAATATTAAGATGCTTCTAATCAGGAGTAATCAAGCCAAGCCCACTTGGTTCTGGCTGTGTATCTATTCAAAATGGCGGCACAACTCTTCTCAGAGAACCCAAGAGACCTTGAAAGCAGCTTTGACTTCATACCTTTCAAGTAGGATGGAGGGACAACAGTCCGTCAACAGCAGCCTGAAGCCTTTCACATTTTGATCTCATTATACGAGAAATACATTTTTGGTATATTTTTGAGAGGGAATTGTGTTTATCTTTAATTATAAAACCCACAACCTAAGACTCAGTCATCCCATGTCTAGGAATCTAACCTACGGAAATACTTCCACATGTTTGCAAATTTTCTCACCCTCCAAATACATGCACACACCTTTCATAGCTCATTATATGGAATACAGGAAATTGGAAATCCTAAATGTATACGCATAGGAAAATGGTTAAATAAATTATGGTAACGTACACTCTGGATTATCTCTAAATGAGATTAATACATGAAAAGATCTTTGAGATAAAGTGAAAAACACAAGTTATAGAACATGGATAGTTTCAACCCCATTTATGCAAAAAACAAAACTCTCTATGGGACTAAAAGAGTAGCGGTGGCTTCTACCTTTTACTCACACTTCTATATTTGTATTTTTCCAATGAGCATGTATCTTTCATAATTTATAAATAAAAAGTAAAAGTAACATGAAAATATAGAATCATGTGACTAACATAAAAATCAGTTATAACTCCACTATCCAAAGAGCAGTTGTTTGTATTTTGATAGTATAAATCCTTCAAAGTATCTTCCAATGAACTTGCACTATTATAAAATTTCATAGCCTATATTTTTTAAAAATCTAAATTCTTCCCAAGCATTACTCTTTTAAAGTATTATTTTGATGGGCTGCATAGTAGTCTATCTTATGGATGTACTGCAATTTATTTAAATAATCCTCTATTGTTGAAAACTTGGGTTGTTTTCTAACCTTTCTCTATAAGAAAACTACTGCGATCATCATTCTTACATATAAATCTACACTGTACATAAATCCATTTTCTTATATGTTTTAAAGTTTAATTTATTGGGCCAAAGAATATAACCATCATTAATTTAAATTACTTAAGTTTATTTATTTAAATTTGGTTTATCTTTAATTGTAAATGCCCATACCCTAAGACTCAATCATTTCACGTCTAGGAATCTAACCTTTAGAAATACTTACACACATTCACAAATTTGCTCACCCTCCAAACACACACAGAGAGAAAGAACACCATTAACCTTTTTGAGAAGGGCTATACCAAACTTATACAAGAAATGTATGGGTTGATGAGAGAATATTTTTCTGGGCACAAATTCAAAGCATTAAAATTTTTTAATCATTGTCATTTTGAAAGACAAAAAAGGGCATTTCTCTGTGTTTTTGTTTGTACTTCTTTGATTAGTAAAGTTAAACATTTTTCCATATTTTATTGACTGCTTGCATCTGTTATTTTGAGAACTGCCTATTTATAACTTTGTGCATTTCTACCTGATTACTTCTGTTCCAAGAACTTCAGGGTTTAACGTAACTGTAGCAGACCAATCTGGTTCAAGCTGTACGTAAATAAGTTGTGAGTTGTTTTGCAGTTGCTGTGGACCCCCAGGTTGAAGGTCACATAACCTGAGCATGCTCAGATGAACCAAGTGTGCAATCGTGGGCGGAACCTAAGTGCTCAAGTGCTTGGACAAGGGAGTGGGGACTGAATTAAGAACGGACAACACGGCAAGATCCAACATCCAATCAGATTCAGCCTTGTTGTGACTCCATTGCAAGATCCAATCAGATCATACCTCCATTACCCTCTCGATTTTATATAAAACCTGCTGCAATCCCCAGCTCAGGGGAGGCAGATTTCTCATTGCAAGAACCCAGTACTTTGGTGTTCAGCTTTCCCTTGGGCGCTGGCAAACGAACCCAGTTTGGTACAAATACACTAATATTTTACACATTCCTGTATAAAAACTCCTTAGGAGTACATACTTGGTTGACCAAAGGTATAGAAGAAGTTTTTAAAAGATATGAAAGATGGAAAAGCAGTATAATTTTAGGATCTCACTGAAATATGGCTCAGGTATAATCTGTTTTTTAGTCAGCCTCTTGGTATTTAAGGTTAAAATTCTTTTTCTTTTACCATTGAATTCTTCAACTTCCAGCTCTGGAGCTACCAGGTAATACTGCTCACATAGCATCTTGGCTGTTTCATATGCATCTGCAAAGAAAGAAAAAAGTTTAGCTGCTGTACTAATAAGATAGTCACAAGCATGTAAATGCATATAAAATAAATGAATTGTCTAAACTGATGGATTTAGAATTAATTATCTACCACCTTTTTAAAAATAGCCCTTTTTGGCTATTATTATGACTAAAACAAAATTTCTCTTTCCTTAAAGTTTTAATGATCACAACAATGTCAAAATACTAGACTAATGACAATATAGCTAGCTCTATACCAAACACACTTTAACTTTTAAATATTCCTAAAATGTGTTTTTCATGATAATCTTGGAACTTAAGACTATGCTTCTGAGCACCATGCAACCTGACTAAATTGTAGTAAAAGGACATTTGTTATAATTTTAAAAATAATAGTGGTAACAGTCTTATGATTTGCCAGAGTTACTTGTAAATGAAACATCAATAAGTATATGCTGAATGAATAGGTTTCCATGAGTCACACAATTTAAGTTACTGGAGGCACCACTATCACTTTAAAATGTCCTTTAAGTTAGTTAAAAAGGTAACCGGTTGGGGCTGATATTTATCAAAGTCTGAAGAGCAACAGTTCACTATCAAAAAGGGAAATATAAAAAAACATAGGGCAAGAGGATCAGGACCATTACAAGAAATAGCGGGAAGAGGGAATTCAGTAGGTTTGAAGATGAGGAACAAATTCAGAAAGCAAAGGTACACTATGATATATTGCATGTGTGCCTTTTCTCTTGAACTATAAACAAACTGAGGTCAGGGTCAGGGTCTGTGTCTTAACACTTGTTTTGTAACTTCTGTAGAACTTTGTATAGTGCCCATGTAGATGGTCAATCAATATTCCTTAGTTTGATAATTGTTAAACCTTTTGATAATTTACTTTACAAAACTTTATTGAGATATAATTCTCATACAATTTGCACATTTAAAGTATACATACAACTGAGTGGTTTTTAGTATATTTGCAGAGTTGTGCATTTGTCACCATAACCAAGTTTACAACATTTTTATCACTATAAAAAGCCCCAAACCCAAGCAGTCACTCCCCTCCACCCAGGCCTAGGCAACCATGGATTTGCTTTGTATCTATAGATTTGCTATTCTGAACATTTCATATAAATGGAATCCTATAATATGTGGTCTTTTGTGATTGGCTTCTTTCACTTATTATGTTTTCAAGGGCAATCTATGATGTAGCATGTATCAGTACACTCCTTTTTATTGCTGAATAATATTTCATTGTACAAATATACCACACTTTCTTTATCCACTCATCAGCTGATAGACATTTGGGTTGTCCACTGTGGGCTATCAGGAATAACGCTACTATGAATATTCATGTCCACGTTTTTATGTGAACGTGTTTTCATTTCTCTTGGGTATATACCTAGGAATAGAAGACTGCTGGATCATATGGTGACTCTGCATTCAAACATTTGAGGAATTGTCAGACTGTTTGCCTAAGTAAGAGTTATTTTTAAAGTTTCACCTTTACAATTTCTAAAGATTAGGGATTCAAATTCTGTTAAAAAGCTTCAGGGGCACATTTGCAATGTTCTCGACAGGGTATCAGCTCTTTGTAGACAGACTCCCACTTCTTTTCTATTCCCCACATCAATACTGTGCATGGAGTACTTGTTTAAGATTCAAGAGGAGAAAGAGGGAAGGAAGGAAAGCAAGAAAGGGGAAAAAATAAGCCCTACAGAATTTAAATATGTTAAAATTTGACATTATTAACCTAAAAGAATACAAAGATAAGATTAGGGTATGTTCAGATTATAAATTTTGGTTCATTTACTTCATATTGCTACCATGTTAAAATTGTATCTATTATTTGACCTTGGAGTAAAATTCTGATTATTTTATTATTAAACTTTTAAAATTAAACTGCTATAAAAACCAAAGATAGAGACATTAGAATAACTCTGACAAGATGAAATAATTAGGGATAGCAAAAAGGAAAAAGCAGTAAGAGGAGAAAAAAAATTTTAAGAAGTTGATCAGTATGAAAATAGACATTAAAGTTGGACTAGATTTCAACCCTGAAAAAAAAAAAGTTAAAATTTAGAATTATACTAAATTTACAAGTTTTTTTCTAGGACATAATAAATCTCATTAAATATCTGTAAAATACTTTTGTTAAAAGAAGAGAAATCAAGACTCAGTCCTTATGCTTTGGCTACAGCACCAAACAATGCTACATCTCCACCTAGTGACGTGATAGCACAAAGCCAACCATGAACTTCCAAGGCCACAAATACTGAAATCTAAAGACAATGCTTCATTATCTACATACAAAGCCAATACATCTCCACAAAACATCTTCTCCAGGTATGTAAAAAAGATGTTTTAAGATTGCTCTTCCATTTGCTATACAACAGGAAAATAACCTACACCCACTAAATATGCTAATTCCTCAAGGTATTAGTTTGCCCAGTATCACGACTGTGACAGCATTGTCAAGAAAAAGTGATAGACAGATTTAACCTGTGACAGTGGAGCCCAGAAAGAAGCAGCCAACTCAAAACCTGAAGGTCTCTGAGTATGGTTCCTAAAACCACATGTGAATAAGAAATTTTTAAGCATCAGTACAAAGTATAGTGTATCAATGCTATAATTAAGAATTGCATGATGATCCTTGAAAAACTCAAGCCATCACAATGTAGATTCTTATACACCTGCCAGCCAAAAGCATTTTGGGGGTGTTAACGGTAATATCTATATTGATATGCATCTCTATAAATTCCCACAGCATGTCATAATACCTTGGACACAATATACACTTAGTGGGCATTTGTTAAATGGACAATCAATCCTATGGCCCATGATAAAGTTCTTAACATGAAATCAGTTACAGTGATGGGAGGTGTTCTTTTTGGTTAGACTGGGAACTAGAGGCCTAGGGTGATTCCCAAACTTGGTTTGCGTATAGAATTTTTTGCCAAGTTTAAAAAAGGTTATAGATTATGAAATGAATCCTAGAAATTCTGAGGCAGCAGCTCTATGCTGAGGCCTGAGGATGCATATTTTAAAAATATAGCAGGTAATTCTTAAGAGAAGCTAGACTTGGCTACTACTTGCCTGGTAAGTCAGGTCTAGGTCACACTAATTCTGCCACTGTGTCTCCCAGGGTATGAATGATCGTGGGGTACTGGGGTATATGATAGCACATATATACTTAAACAGGATACTTCTAAGTAAAATAATTTAACATAAAAGTGAAAAAGCTTTAATAAAAGTACCACCATAACAACTAAAATTCAACTATTGGCTTATAAATTTCCTTTATTTACTTCTAGAGTAAAATGCAAGTTCTACTTATAATAAGCTTTCTAATAAAACTTTTCTACTTTTTTAATTAGAAATCAAAATTTCAAAAGATAATTACTAAATTACTTTTATGTGCAATATATTTGAGCCAGTATTTACTTCTAATCTTTAAAAGGAAATATTAGGAAATTATTATTGCTACTGAATGTAAGTAATACTCATTGATTTGAGAACCTGTTTTCAATGGTGTTGATCATAAAGTAATTAACAAATCTGTGGGTGTGGCACATACATACTCCCCCAGGCTAAAATATCCAAACTGTATATATATAAGACTAAAAATTTAAAAGGCCAAGCCATATAGAGTAGGGAGAAGGTTCACATGGCAACCAGACCAACAAATCCAACCTAGCCATGAACCCAAACAGCACACAGGAAAATTTAACAGATAATGGAGGTTATTTATTAGATTTTTTATCATAAGATTTTCCTATTCAAAATTTACCATAGAACTCTGCTATCAAATATTAATTAGCCTCTATCCCAAATACATGCAATCATTTGTTTATAAGTGTCTTGTAAGAGGCTAAAGTAGGATGAATGAGTACTGAAAAAATTAAAATTAAGGTGCCAAGGTCCCTGGTCTTTGAGTCTAATAGACTACAGAAAAACATAAAGCTCAAGTTTAAGAAGCCACTGCCAGAATAAGGTAAACATAAATGACCATAAAGCATTAGAAGATACTGATATGCTTTTAATTTTTTAATAAAAACAATCCCACAGCATTTATTGTCATCTGATAAAAAACATAAGGGTAATGGAAACAATATGAACAAATGTTTTACAACTATACTCCCAACAAAGGACGTCTAAAACAACAAACTATTACCTACTCAACAATTTCTCACTTCCTTGATCATTTCTATTTCTAGTTGGAGATATTTTGTAGCAGAATATTATCATCCCCTTTTAGCATGATCCGGTCCACTTGTTTTCTTGACTTTTACAATGAATCTCTTGTCCATCATCTGATACAAGGTTCATATGCTCATCAAAACCAATGATACAGCCCTCTAGCTGCATATTCACCTCTCACAGAGCCATACCTGAATCCAGGATCTATGAAGATAAGGTTGACAGGCTACACCATCACCTTCTGCACTTTTTGGCCATGGCCACGGTACACCACGGAAGCCCACACTGAATCACACACTACCTTAGGAAGCAACTTCCAGAATTGACACACTGCTTTTTAGAAACACTTTTAAGTTTCAAAGCAATTCCTAGTAAGGCATGTCTATCATCCTCCTTATCCAAAACCCATCTCAAGTGGGAACCACTAGGGTTTTTTTTAAGCAAAAAAAAAAAACAAAACAACAACAACAAAAAACTCCTTCACCCTCCAAACCACAGCAGACTGGATAAGTGGGGGTGTAACATCTAACATAAGGGCAACCAATGTCTAGGCTGACAAGAATCCTAAAACTTGTGGTCATAGGCCAAAAAAAAAAAAAAAAAAAAGATGAACTGAGCCAATTAAATCCATCTTTTAGGAATTTAGAATCAAGACACTCAAGATGATCAGGCAGGGCAGAAGCCAAAGGGGTACACTGAAAATTATCATGGCAGGCCTAGAGTGCCCAAGTCAGCTAGTGGACAGACAGAAAAAAGTAAATGTAACAGGCAGAGAATGGCGGGGACACTGTGACTTGGCAACACCAGTTGCAAAGATAC